AAGTAATGAAAATGGAGACCTTATAAGAATCATATAGTATTAGTCCAATTAGAGGCAAGGTTTGTTATTATTTGATATTGAAAAGCCGACTATAATTTGAACATTCCGATCACATACATTAACATTAGTATAATCAATGGTGAAACTGTAAACTTTAGAAGTAAACAGTATTACTCAGTTATAAGTCAAATATTATTGATTGTCAATCGTGACAGAGCTCTACCAGCCACGTGATCATATCCTGAAAGTGTTGGGGCCTTCTATGTAACGAAGTATACTTCTTTCTATGCCAAGATGCATTTTTCTAAGGTAGACACATGTACTGTACACACACGTGCACACACACACGCACAGACACACACACACACACACACACACACACATCTATCTCTCTATCTACATAATATATATAAACCTAACGCCATCATAACACAACAGCATAAAAAATCCGAGGTGCATAGTAAAGCGGATTCCCTTACAACAGGCGACCATCAAAGGCCACAATTGCTTTTTTTAACCGCAGACACGCAAGGCCTGGTACTAGTGCTTAAGAGTGGCTTGAACTCTCTCGTGCGAAGGCAGTGCTCGCGGTCAGGACTACAGGAGCTCGAGCTGTTTGGGGGAAGAAGGAAAGCAGTAAAAGAACTGTAGGAGCACTTAAGAGTAGAATTACTTGCATGCATACACACACATGCATGCAAGCCTATATGGAAAAATAGTCATATATAATGTCCGAATCTATATTTGTATCAATATATACTCATACATACATGTGTAATATATATATATATATATATATATATATATATATATATATATATATATATATATATATGTGTGTGTGTGTGTGTGTATGTGTATGTGTATATGTGTGTGTGTGTGTGTGTGTGTGTGTGTGTGTGTGTGTGTGTGTGTGTGTGTGTACATACAATATGTACATATAGTGCATATATGTGTGTATGTATACATAACAAAAGAAGAAGAAAAAATATATATGCATATATATGTATGCACATATATAATTCTGTGGAACAGATTTCTATTAATAAACTACTCATCTCTTCATACTCCATTGACATGATAGCCAATATATATATGTGGAATGCTTTAAAAAGAAAAAAATCTTCCTACCATACAACCCATTCGCGATTATAAGAAAACCTCCACAAAACACCAATCAACACCTTGTATTAAAAAAAAGGAAAAAAAAAAAACACACGATCCTATCCTATCAACAGCACCAATGGGGAAAAAAGGTAGAGGTCCCGGCCACAGTTTCCTGGCCCGTGTCATAATCTCCCAACACCAGGAAGTCGTCGCAGTGGAAGTTGGAAGGTTTTCATTAAGGATATGGACGACCTTGAAAATAGACCTATGGTGGAGATTCCTTGCGGGTGATTATGTCGAAGGATATGTAGTTTGTATTTTCGCGTTTTATTCGTTTTTGATGTCGGTTTGTCACATACTTATATACTGAAGTTATGGGTGTATAAATTGGTATATGATAGTATTGGATTATATGTCTTATAAGTGGATGTATTTATATGTTTACACTTACACACGCACATTTATACACACATACATGCTATATAATATCCTTGTACACACTAATTATTTCTAAATTGCTGGTAGTAAATTTCCGGTAGAGAGAGAGAGAGAGAGAGAGAGAGAGAGAGAGAGAGAGAGAGAGAGAGAGAGAGAGAGAGAGAGAGAGAGAGAGAGAGAGAGAGAGAGAGAGAAATGAAAGAGGGAACGAAAAATAATCAGATAACGAAAGAGAGAAAATGAAAAGAGACAAATCACAGAAAAAAAACATTCATAAAAAAAGAAAAAAAAAAAACGCTCCCAAAAAACCACAGAGGATAATAGAGATGATTCTTGTGGAATTTCACTTTCACGGCATACTACTCTTGCCTGGCGATGGCGCTGTAGTCGGCTTCTAAGTGCTCTGGTGAAGAAAATTTCCTCTTTCTTCTCTCTCTCACACACTCTCTTTCTCTTTCTCGGGCTCTCTCTTTCGTTCTCAGTTTCTCTCTTTCTTTTTCAGCCTCTCTTCTCTCTCTCTCTCTCTCTCTCTCTCTCCCCCCCTCCCTCCCCCTGAGGGAGAAGAGGAGGAGAAGGGAGAAGAGAAAGAGGAGGAAGAGGAGGAGGAGGAGGCCGACAGATGGCAGGAGGAGGAAGGAAAGGCGGAAGAGGAGGAGAAGTGAGAAGAGGAGGAGGGAGAGGAGGAGGAAGAGGAGGAGGAGAAGGAGGAGGAGGAGGAGGAGGAGGAGGAGGAGGAAGAGGAGGTAGAGGAGGGGAAGGAGGAGGAGGAGAGAGGAGTAGGAAGGGAGAGTAAGAAGAGGGAAGAGGGAAGAGGATGAGGAGGATGAGGAGGATGAGGAGGAGTAGGAGGAAGAGGAGGAGGAGGAGGTAGGGGAGGAAGAGGAGGAGGAGGAGGAGGAGGAGGAGGAGGAGGAGGAAGAGAAGGAGGAGAAGGAGGAGGAAGAGGAGGAGCAGG